TGTCCATATATGGTTGTTTTTAGGTGTTTTACAAAGGTGAACCAAAGCCTGTGTTTTACGTGGCAAGCCGTGGACACCATGCAGACATTGGAGGGCTGGCACCAGGCATGTAGTGCACAGGAATCCCAAGCTGGAAGCAATCCTATTCCCGCCACAGTGAACTGACTACTTTAATTTTTCTACCTGTAGGTTCTATGCCACCGAACTCCAAGACTATCTATCACGAAGGAGCTGTATTCAAATCTTTCAAGTTGGTCACAAATGGCCATTTCCAAGAAGAAGGTGACTCAGATATATGTAAATCTCAGCACTCAGAAGTATGCTTTGGTTAGCCTGGTAGCAGCCCTCTTTCAGAAGAGAGGGCCTGTGGTCATGACAGGGAACCCATGCCTTCTTTTAACCCCTGATAAAATTGAATCGGTCTCATATCAATGTCAAAAATAGACCAACCAGCGTTGAACAAAAATAAATTAACTTGATATTAAAAATATTTTTGATTACTGTGTTTTATTGCCAGCTTTGACTGAAAGATTGATGGCACCAAAAGAAAATCCCGGATGTAGTGGGACACGCAATCTGTCTGACAACAAGTCAGATCTTCGTGCCCAGGTCGCTGCTAATAAGAAGGTGAGTGGGAGAATGGAATAGTTAGGATGCTATCATCATCATCAACACTATCGCCGTCATCATCATTATCATCATAATTGGCAATGTGCAGTGACGCCATTTTGTGCAGCAAAGCATAATGGTAGTTGTAGTCCTCGTGCTTTTTTATGTCCGCTAAAACAGTCCTCTTAACCAGTTTTTGATTAATCTTAAAGTATTTGTGCCGTTTCTAAATAGAAAATGTGGAAAAGTCTTTTAAGAAAATATTTTAATTGCGAGGACTACAACTACCATCATACTTTGCTGCACAAAATGGCATCGTATTTTTGAAACACTTACATACGAAATGAGTTAAAACTTCCGTTAATCTATTGTCACTTAATTTCAGGGTATAACTCTAATAAAGGAACTCATCGA